CATCACGCTCGCCGACTTCCTCAAGTCCCTCCAGGCAGCGGTCGATGAGCTTGACAACGACAGCAGGCCGACCGAGTCGCAGCAGCACGTGTCGCCTGCAGCCCAAGAGCCAGCCCCCACCTGACGGAGCTGCAGCTGGAGGCGGAGCGGCCGCTGCTGAGGGCGGCCCAGCGCAAGGGACCACGCCAGACGAGGCTTTCGACGCTTTCATGGCTGGCGATGATCCTGGCGGCCTGCTGGGCTCCTGCCAGGATGAGGGAGAGCGCAAGCGGCTTGCCGAGGCCATGGAGACCATCCGCACAGCCAAGCGCTCCAAGACGGCAGGCGGGTAGCTCTGCCAAGAGGCGATGGTGGACGGCGCTCACCATCAATGCCAACGCCTACAGCAGGTTCGAGGCGCTGCTCGACGAGAACCAGGTGCGCAACGCAGACATGATTGCGGTGCAGGAGACTCACCTCTCCGACTTTCGGTGTGCGGAGGTGACCGACAAGCTCAAGAAGCAGGGCTGGCATGCCCCCGCAGTGGGCACGGGCCCAGGCCTCCACGGCCACGGAGGGCTGCTGCAGCTGGCGCCGCGTGCGCATGGCCTCGGCGCCTTCGAGATGAAGAGCGGATTCGAGCTCTTCCCTGGCAGGGTTTCGGTCGCCCACTTCGCTGGCATCGTGCCTGGCGGAGTTGCCTGGTTCAACGTCTACCTCGAGGACAGCGAGGGCATGTCCGACTTCAACTACCAGGTGCTGCAGGCCGTCTTCCGCGCGGCGAGGCAGGTCGCCAAGCCCATCATCATTGGTGGGGACTTCAACCTGGAGCCGCAGGAGCTGGCGGCGTCAGGCTTCCTCAACGCACTCAAGCTCAAGGTGGTCGCCCCCGTCGAGGGCACCTGCCGCCCTGGGGGGCGCATTATCGACTACTGGGCAATCGGCGCGACGTTCGGCGAAGCGGAGGCCAAGGTGCTGCGCGGCTGGAACCTAGCGCCGCATTTTCCTGTCCAACTGAGGGTCAACGGCAGTACCTTCGCCAGGAAGATGCAGATCATGGAGATCCCCAAGCGCTTGCCCTGCCCGCTGCCTACCGCGTGCGGCAGCAGGGATCACTCAGTTCCCTGGGGGGCCACTCGGCAGGCCATGCAGGCCACGAGCTCGCTCTCCTCGCGCTGGCAGCTATTCGCCTGCCAGGCCGAGTGGAACATCATCGACGCCGTGGGTCTGGCTCACGAGTGCGACGACTACGCAGGCCGCGCCGCCAGGCCACGCCTCAAGATGGCCAAGGTTGCGGTACCCAGCCCGCCACGCATCCCCAAGTGCTCCAAGGCCACCTCCTGGCACAAGAGGGTGGCGATCGCGATCGAGGATTGCGCGCAGGTCGGCTTTCCCCTCCGTCGGCTTCGGGCGCTGCGGGCCCTCAGCAAGATGACGGGCGACGACTTGGTTCAGTCCACCGACCAGCACAAGTTGAATTCGATCACCATCTTCACAACCTTGGCGGAGGCCACGCCCCCCCTGGACATTGGCACGCTGCAGGGCATCGCTGCTTACGTCGACGCGGCTGCCGACAAGGTGGTCCAGAAGGAGGCCGACGCGATGCAGTCGAGCTACAACGACTGGGTGATCGACCACCACACAAGAGGCACAGGGGCCCTTCATGCTCTCACCAAACCTCCACAAGGCTGGGCTCCTCGCCCTACGGGAGCGCCCCCCCGGCGGCCCTCTTCCTACCCTCCAGGAGACGGTTACTGCCTTGGTGAGGGAATGGTCTGGGCATTGGGGCCTGGGGGGCCCCACCTCCTCCTGCGCCAGCACTCAGGAGGCCCGCGTCGACTGGCCCGACGAGCTTGGCGAGAGGCCGCCCAGGCCCACAGCCGAGGAGGCCAGGAAGGTAACCCGCAGCTCCAAGGAGGGCACGGGGGCGCCCTTCGACTCGCTCAGGCCCAGGGAGCTGCAGCTAATGGACGACGAAGGCATCGAGGCCATGATCGACCTGTTTGACGTGATCGAGCAGAGGTGTGAGTGGCCTGACTTAGTCACCAAGATGGCCTCCATCCCCAAGACGGACGGAGGACTTCGCCCAATCGCGCCGCCGGGGGCTCTCGCGCGCATCCGCGGAAGGTTGCGGCGGCCAGTCGCGAAGCAGTGGGAGCGGCAGCACGACGGGCCCTACTGGTGGGCCAGCGCTGGCAAGAGCTGCGACCGAGCCGTGCGGCAGCAGCAGGCCAGGGCCGAGTGGGTCCACATGATGGGCGCGATCTACGAGCAGCACGACTGGGCGTCGGCGTCGATCCTCCTCGACCTCTGGAAGGCTTTCGAGCAGATGCTGCGCAGCCAGCCCCTGCAGGCCTGCCAGGCCCACAACTTCCCGCTCTGGCTGGCCAAGCTGCAGATCAACCTGTACAGGATGCCCCGCGTGGTATGCCTGGAGGGCTGCTGCTCGGACGAGCTGGTGGTGATGCAGACGGTGCTGGCAGGCGACGCGTTCGCCTCTACGTTCATGAAGGTGATGCTCCCCGCACCGTCGGACACGGTGGTGATCAAGCACCACGCTGTGGTCCCCGCAGTGGTCGCGGACGACCTGGCGATGCAGCGCTGGGGCGGCAGCAGCGAAGCCGAGAAGGATCTGATAGCCAGCGCCAAGCTCTTGGCCAAGGAGCTCAGCAAGGTGAAGCCCAAGGTCGCGACGAAGAAGTCCAGGATCCTCGCGAGCAGCGCCAAACTGAGGAAGGGGCTCCAGGCCAAGCTCATCAAGGCTTGCGGTGCTGTTGCAGTGCGCAACCTTGGAGTCGATCACGCTGAAGGTGGGCGGCGTGCCAGTGCGGTGCGGAAGCTGCGCATGGCCAACGCCAAGGCGCGGCCCCCTCGCATCAAACGACTTCTGGGGCTTCGGCGAGGCCGAGCCGCCGCGGCAAAGGTCGCCTGCACAGGCCTTATGCCCAGCATCATGTACGGCGTCTCGTGCACTGGGATGCCCGACAGCGAGCTCAAGCACACCAGGGCGCTGGCCGTCAAGGCAATCGAGCCAAGGCCGCAGGGCAAGTCCACCACTGGCTGCCTCGTCTTCGGCGGGCCGAGCGAGATCGACCCTATGCACGGCGCAACCTTGGCGCCTGTCTGCACCCTTGCACGTGCACTATGGGAAGGCTGGATTCCCGCAGGAGTGCTCAAGTCGACCTTCGACGGCTTCGCGAGGCACGTTCGCAGCGGGAGTGAGGTCCGAGGACCAATCTCTGCGGCAGTCTTGACGCTCAGGCGTGTCGGCTACGACGTGCGCAGCTTCGACCAGTGGCTCAGGCACAGCACCTGCGAGGCCATCGACATCACATGCTCTTCGCCCTGGCACATCAAGCAGGTACTGCGCAAGGACGTGCAGGCCTGGCAGCTACGACAGCTAGCGCCTGACACGCACGAGGGCATCATCAACGGCGCCTTCGTCCCACAGGTGCGCAGGTGGCTCAGCGCAGGCAAAGCCTCCACCTTCGAGGGCCGCAGGTGGAAGCCCCTGGACGACAAGCAGAGGGGCTACGCGAGGTCGCTGCTGGTGCACGGCCAGTGGCTCAACCCGCGAAGGTATGAGGCAGCGCCGCGGCTCGCTCCTACGCCGTGCTGCGCGCTGCACCCGCACTCCCTGGGCACCCTGTGGCACCGCCACCTGGAGCGTTGCGACAGCTGGCCCAGTTTCGAGCTGCCTGAGGAGCTGGTGAAGTTCAAGCAGTTCGAGTCCAGTATCACGATCAAAACGCTGTTCGAGCGGCTCCTGCTGCCCGAGCCCAGCCACGACTGGCGCCCCCCGCAGGACGACCTGCTCCAGGGGCTGCGGTGGCTCAAAGGAGACGCCGACCCGTTCATCAACACCGAGCTGTTTGCCGACGGCTGCTGCTACGAGGCTGGCACTTCGCTGGCTGTGGCAGGATGCGCAGTGGTCGAGTTGCCGCCTGGGCCAGAAGGAGAAGACCCAGGCAAGGGATCTTGCGTCAAGGCCATGGGCGCCCCCTGTGCCTGGGCCAATCCAGTCTATCGACGGCGCAGAGCTGCTCGCGCTCTACGCGATCCTCAGGCACCCGCTTCCTCCCATCACGGCCCACTTCGACGCCGACTACGTGGTCAAAGGCTTGATGGAGAGAGGACGCGAGGCCACTACCTCGCATAAGTCCGCCTGGGGAGAGATCTGGCGCAGGATTTGGCACGCGCTGGACGACTTCGGCGACCTCAGCAGCGACGGCCTCACGGTGCGGAAGGTCAAGGGCCACGCGACCTTCAAGGAGGTGGACGAGGGCAAGATCACACTCCGACGTCGGCGAGGCAACCGCGAAGCTGACCGAGCGGCGAAGTTCGCCACGGACCACTTCAGAGCGCCAGAGCAGGCGCGCGAGGCCAGGAAGACAAGAGCGCTCACCTTGGACGGCGCGATCTTCTGGGTGTCGCAGGCCGGCGCCGAAGCTGCTGATCTCAGGATCGACTTCCGCGACAAGTGCAGGGAGCCCCAGTCCAAGGGCCCCAGGCTCTACATCACCAAGCACGAGCTGGTCAAGATCAAGGGCGGAGTCGAGGGCGTCCAGGCGCTCCACTGCCTGAGGTGCCTGCGTTCGGCCTACACTGACATCTCGACCAAGAACCTCCCAAGGCAGAGCTGCACGCCGAAGGCCTTCGCTCCCGACGCCTACACCAGCGGGGGCAAGAAGCGGCCGAGCGCCTCGGCCCTGGCGCACGCTGGAGCCGCCGCGGTGGCGGTAGCAGCAGCCCGCCGCTTCGTGGAGGACGAGTGCCAGCCCACCCACGACAGCGGGGGGGCGAGCAGCAGCGCGGCGGGCTCCTCCTTTGTTCAGCATCGTGGCGACAGCCAGATTCTGGGATCCGTCGGTGACGGTGACCTGCGTGCTGACGAGGAGCAGCCGTCGGCGGGCTCCTCCCTCATTCAGCATCGTGGCGAAAGCCAGATTCTGGGATCCGTCGGTGACGGTGACCTGCGCGCTGACGAGGAGCCGCCGACGGCAGGCGGCGGGGGCGCCGAGGCCCAGCCTGCTGCGCCGCCGCCCAGCGGCTCTGGCTCGCTCGACGCGGACGGAGGCGGCCACGATCTACGCACGTATTTCGGGTACCGCGTCTGCCTGAAGTGCTACCAGCACGCGAAGGAGGTGAAGGGCAAGCACAGGGGGCTCGGCATGGCCTGTGCCCCGGCGCTCAAGCCCAGCGCCCAGGCTGAGCGCAGAAGGAAGGCTGAGAAGATCATGAGAGGAGTGGCTCCGTCGGGGAGGCCACTCGCGTGATGGCGTCGCGGCGGGCTCCACTTCTTCTGAGCTGCCGCCCGCGACGCCTGCTGCGTCGCCGCCGCTCTACCCTGTCGAGTTGCCGCCGTTTGCGGCGACTCCGGAGGCGGCCAACAGGGCCGCCGTGCGGTCCGCGGCGCAGGAGCTGGACGTGCGCGCTGCGCGCACTCAGGCTGCTGAGGAAAAAATTCTCGGCCGCCCAGGGCGCAATCTATGGCGCAACCGATAGGAGGCGGTTCCATCCTCGGCCGCCAAGGGCGCAACCTAAGGCGCAACCGATGGTTGACGGTTTTATCCTCGGCCGCCGAGGGCGCAACCTAAGGCGCAACCGATGGGAGATGGTTTTATCCTCGGCCGTCGAGGGCGCAGCCTGTGGCGCAACCGATTGGAGGCGGTTTTACCCTCGGCCGCCGAGGGCACAACCCACGGCGCAACCGACAGTAGACGGTTCCATCCTCGGCCGCCGAGGGCGCAATCTATGGCGCAACCGACAGGAGATGTTTTATTCTTGGCAGCCAAAGGCGCAACCTATGGCGCAACCGATAAGAGACGGTTCAATTCTCGGCCGCCGAGGGCGCAGTCCAAGGCGCAACCGACAGGAGACGGTTTATTCTTGGCCCCCCAGGGCGCAACCTATGGTCCAACCGATCGGAAATTGTTTTATCCTCGGCCGCCGAGGGCGCAACCTATAGCGCAACCGACAAAAGACAGCTTCATCCTCGGCCGCCGAGGGCGCAACTTGTGACGCAACAGATAGGAAACGGTAGTATCCTCGGCTGCCGAAGGTCCAACCTACGGCGCAACAGATCGCAGGCAGTTTTGCTTTTGGCAGCCAAGGGCACAACCTATGGCGCCACCGATCGGAGGCGGTTTTATTCTTGGCCGCCGAGGGCGCAACCTACGGCGCAACCGACAAGAAACGGTTCCATCCTCGGCCGCCGAGGGCGCAACCTTTGGCGCAACCGGTGGGGGACGGTTTTATTTTCGGCCGCCGAGGGCGCAACCTATGGCGCAACCGACAAGAAACGGTTTTGACCTCGGCCGCCGAGGGCGCAACTTACGGCGCAACCGACAGGAGGCGGTTTTATTCTCGGCCGCCGAGGGCGCAACCGATGGCGCAACCGACAGGAAACGGTGTTATTCTCGGCCGCCGAGGGCGCAACCTATAGCGCAACCGAGAGGAGACGCTTTTATCTTCTGCCGCCAATGGCGCAACCTATGGCGTAACCGACAGGAGCTGGTTTTACCCCTGGCAGCCAAGGGCGCAACCTACGGCGCAACCGACTGGAGGCGGTTTAATTCTCGGCCGCCGAGGGCGCAACCTATGGCGCAACCGATGGGATATTTTGTTATTCTCGGCCGCTGAGGGCGCAACCCATGGCGCAACCGACAGGGGACGGTTTTATCCTCGGCCGCCAAGGGCGCAACCTATGGCGCAACCGACAGGAGCCCTTTTATTCTCGGCAGCCAGGGGCGCACCTTACGGCGCAACCAATTGGAGACGGTTTAATTCTCGGCCGCCGAGGGCACAACCTATGGCGCAACCGATAGGAAACGGTTATATCCTCGGCCGCCGAGGGCAACTTATGGCGCAACCTATGGCGCAACCTATGGCGCAACCGATAAGAAATTGTTCCCAACCCTCCTGTGGTTGGGTACTCGTTTTGAATCGAGCAGTGTGGTCGCCCCGTCCTTCTCCTCCTCCCCCCTCCTCCCCTCCTCCTCCCCTGTTTCCTGTGTTCCCTCTCCTCTCCTCTCGTGCCGTCGGGCTGCGATCTGCGCAACTGTCGCCACTTTCGTGGGCTCCTGGGAGGCCCAGCGGAGGTACGTCCCACGCGGATCACCTCGAGACCTCGCCGCCCCCTGGGGGGCTTGCGATCTGCGCAATTGTCGCCACTTTCGTGGGCTCCTGGGAGGCCCAGCGGAGGTACGTCCCACGCGGATCACCTCGAGACCTCGCCGCCCCCTAGGGGGCTGCGATCTGCGGTCGCCACTTTCGTGGGCTCCTGGGAGGCCCAGCGGAGGTACGTCCCACGCGGATCACCTCGAGACCTCGCCGCCCCCTGGGGGGCTCGCGATCTGCGCAACTGTCGCCACTTTCGTGGGCTCCTGGGATGCCCAGCGGAGGTACGTCCCACGCGGATCACCTCGAGACCTCCCGGGGCTTGCGATCTGCGCCTGTCGCCACTTTCGTGGGCTCCTGGGTGGCCCAGCGGAGGTACGTCCCACGCGGATCACCTCGGACCTCGCCGCCCCCTGGGGGGCTTGCGATCTGCGCAATTGTCGCCACTTTCGTGGGCTCCTGGGAGGCCCAGCGGAGGTACGTCCCACGCGGATCACCTCGAGACCTCGCCGCCCCTTGGGGTGCTTGCGATCTGCGCTGCTGTCGCCACTTTCGTGGGCTCCTGGGAGGCCCAGCGGAGGTACGTCCCACGCGGATCACCTCGAGACCTCGCCGCCCCCTGGGGGGCTTGCGATCTGCGCAACTGTCGCCACTTTCGTGGGCTCCTGGGAGGCCAGCAGAGGTACGTCCCACGCGGATCACCTCGAGACCTCGCGCCCCCTGGGGGCTGCGATCTGCGCAACTGTCGCCACTTTCGTGGGCTCCTGGGAGGCCCAGCGGAGGTACGTCCCACGCGGATCACCTCGAGACCTCGCCGCCCCCTGGGGGCTTGCGATCTGCGCAACTGTCGCCACTTTCGTGGGCTCCTGGGAGGCCCAGCGGAGGTACGTCCCACGCGGATCACCTCGAGACCTCGCCGCCCCCGAGGGGCTTGCGATCTGCGCCTGTCGCCACTTTCGTGGGCTCCTGGGAGGCCCAGCGGAGGTGTCCCACGCATCACTGACCTCGCCGGGGGGGCGATCTGCGGTCGCCACTTTCTTGGGCTCCTGGGAGGCCCAGCGGAGGTACGTCCCACGCGGATCACCTCGAGACCTCGCCGCCCCGGGGGGGGCTTGCGATCTGCGCACTTGTCGCCACTTTCGTGGGCTCCTGGGAGGCCCAGCGGAGGTACGTCCCACGCGGATCACCTCGAGACCTCGCCGCCCCTTGGGGTGCTTGCGATCTGCGCTGCTGTCGCCACTTTCGTGGGCTCCTGGGAGGCCCAGCGGAGGTACGTCCCACGCGGATCACCTCGAGACCTCGCCGCCCCCTAGGGGGGCTTGCGATCTGCGCACTTGTCGCCACTTTCGTGGGCTCCTGGGAGGCCCAGCGGGGGTACGTCCCACGCGGATCACCTCGAGACCTCGCCGCCCCCTGTGGGGCTCGCGATCTGCGCAACTGTCGCCACTTTCGTGGGCTCCTGGGATGCCCAGCGGAGGTACGTCCCACGCGGATCACCTCGAGACCTCACCGCCCCCTGGGGGGCTTGCGATCTGCGCTGCTGTCGCCACTTTCGTGGGCTCCTGGGAGGCCCAGCGGAGGTACGTCCCACGCGGATCACCTCGAGACCTCGCCGGCCCATGGGGGGCTTGCGTTGAGCGGTCCTGAATTTAATCGCCACATGTGTAGAAAGGGTTGGGTACGTCGCAGGGTAAGTTTATTCTTGGCCGCCGAGGACGCAACCTATGGCGCAACCGACAGCATACGTGTTTTTCATTCTCGGCCGCAAGGGACGCAACCTATGGCGCAGCCAATCGGAGTCGGACGACGAGGGCGAGCTGAGCAGAAGGAGGAAGACGAGGAGGATGAGAAGGAACATGAGTAGGAGGACGACGACGTCGATCAGGATGGGGAGGAGGACTGGGAGAAATACGAGTCGTACGATGACGAAGCGTGGTCATCCACATGCGTGCGGGGCCACGCCCGGTCGGTGCTCGCCGCGGGGCTGGCGGCGGGCCCAAGCGGCGAACTGTCTTGTGAGTCCAGGTCAGTTCCACGTTGCGGGGCCGCCATGCGGACCTTGCCAGTGAAGCCTTCGGCGGCATTCTCCATGGGGCCACGAAGCGTGTGAGCGGTGTGCCGACATGGGGCGGGACCCCCATGCGGACCGTGCCGTCGGGGTTTTCCGTGGAGTTCGGTGTCACACAATTGCCATCGCCATGCGCGCGGCAGCGGCGGCTCGCGGGCGTGTCAGGGCCAGTCGCGGGGCAAGCCGTAAATGGGTCTCACGGTGGGCGTAATGAATCGACGATCATGAGGTTGTCACTCGCCATCTTGAAGTTCGCGGTTGCCTTCAAGATGGCCCCCATATTTCCGTCGAGGCCAATACGAGGGTTTCAACACAGCGCCAAGTCGGTCCAAGACGGCCCCCCGAGACGGCTAAGATGGTTCAGAATGGCTCCTCCTCCTGCTCCTCCTCCTCGTCCTCCTCCTCCTCCTCCTCCTCCCCTCCTCCCCCTCCCACTCCTCCTCTTCCTCCCTCCTCCTCCTCTTCCTCCTTCTGCTCATCGGCATTCTCAACCTCCTACCAGACATCCGACGTCTTGATTTGTTCCATGCGCGGCCCTTGGATGCCCCGACATCTCAATGGGACACCGTGTCACCATGAGTATTCTTCTGACGACCCTCCGAGGGACCCCAACAGGCGAAAGCGGCGACAGTCTTCCACCTTGATGTTCCAAAACGTTGGATGTCTGGGTTCATCGTCCCTACTCCCGTCTCCCCCCCCCTCTCCTCTCCTCCCCTTCCGTCGTCGTCGTCGTCGTCGTCGTCGACGTCGTCGTTGTCATCGTCGTCGTCCTCGTCGCCGTCGTCACCGCCGTCGCCGCCTTCGTCGTCCTCGTCGCAATCGTCGTCGTCCTGGACGCCGTCGTCATCGTCGTCGTCGTCGTCGAGCCGTCGTCGACGTCCTCGTCGTCGTCGTCGTCGTCGTCCATGTCGCAATTGTCGTCGTCCTCATCGTCCTGGTCGCCGTCGTCGTCGTCAGCCTTGCAATTGTCGTCCTCCTCCTCCTCCTCCTCCTCCTCGGCGTCGTCGTCATCCTCGTCCTCGTCGCCGTCGTCGTCGTCGTCGTCGCAAACATCCCCGTCGTCGTCGTTGTCGTCGTCGCTCTCGTGCCTATTCTCTTTGTCGCATTCGTCGCCGTTGTCGTTGTCGTCGTCGCCGCGGTCGTCGTCGCCGACCACTGCGGCGTCCCAGTGCTGCTTGATGGGGTTGGCTTTTTCTTATCCGACCCCGAACGGGCCAGTGGAATTAGTTTCCTGTCGGACCCAAGGGCTGAACACGAAACAAGAATCGTAAGTTTAAGAACGTTTTCAGATTTGAGAACTGTTTTTCAAGTTTGAGATGTTTCTCACGTTTGAGAACTTTCTCCAATTTGCAACACGTTTTGCAGAAACCTTATAATACTCGGCCCCGGGGGGCCTACCCAAATGCACTCCAGTGGTCCGTTAGGGGTAGGATTCGCAAGAAAATTGACTATGGAGCAGGATCGGGACGCCATACTTGACGGCGACGACGACCCCAGAGACGACGACGAAGACGACGAGGACGAGAGCGAGGACGACGACGACAACGACGACGACGGGGACGTTGGCGACGAGGGACGACGACGATGGCGACGAGGACGATGACGAGGATGAGGACGACGACGGCGACAAGGGTGTCGACGACGACGACGACGATTGCGAGGAAGACGACGACAACGGCGACGAGGAGGAGGAGGAGGACGACGACGAATGCGACGAGGACGATGACGGCGACGGCGACGGCGACGAGGACGACGACGACGAGGTCGTCGACGACCGCGACGTCGACGACGTTGGCGGCGAGGACGACGAGGACGACGACGAGGACGTCGGAGACGACGACGACGGCGACGACGACGGCGACGACGACGACGGCGACAAGGACGACGGCGACGAGGACGACGACGACGGAGGGGAGGAGAAGAAAGAGAGGGGGAAGGAGAAGGGGGGAGGATGGGGGAGGGGAGCAGAGTGGGCAAAAAACAACAGGGAGGAGGGGGGGCGAGGAGGAGGGATGATGAACTCAGAGATCCAACGTCTTGAAAAATCAAGGCCGAGGTCAGTCCCCGCAATTTGGTATCCGGGGGCCCTCAACGGGCGCAGGGCCGCCAAGAAACGACCCTGGATGAAATCGCAAGACAGCTCGCCGCTTGGGCCCACCGTCAGCCCCAACGGCGAGCATCAACTGGTCGTAGCCCCGCGCGCATTTGGATGCCCACACTTCGTCATTATACTACTTGTATTTCTCCTCGTCCTCCTCCCCATCCTGACCGTCGTCGTCCTCCTCCTCCTCCTCCTCCTCCTCCTCCTCATATTCCTTCTCATCCCCTTCGTTCCTCCTCCTGCTCCAGCCCGTCCTCGTCGTCCGACTCCGATTGGCTGCGCCATAGGTTGCCTCCCTTGCGGCCGAGAATAAAGCCGTCTCCTATTGGTTGCGCCATGGGTTGCCCCATCGGCTGCCGAGAATATAACCGTCTCCGATCGGTTGCGCCGTAGGTTAGCCCTCGGCAGCCGAGAAGAAAACCGGCTCTTGTCGGTAGCGCCATAGGTTGCGCCATTAACGGCAGGAAAAAATAACGTCTCCCATCGGTTGCGCTATAGGTTGCGCCCCCGGCGGTCGAAAAGATCACCGTCTCCTATCGGTAGCGCCATAGGTTGCTGCATTGGCTGCCGGAAGAAAACCGTCTCCTATCGGTTGCGCTATAGGTTGCGCCCCCGGCGGCCGAAAAGATCACCGTCTCCTATCGGTTGCGCCATGGGTTGCGCCCTCGGCTGAGAACAAAACCGTCTCCTATCGGTTGCGCCATAGGTTGCGCCCCCGGCGGCCGAGAATATCACCGTCTCCTATCGGTTGCGCCATGGGTTGCGCCCTCGGCTGAGAACAAAACCGTTTCCCATCGGTTGCGCCATTGGCTGCGCCTTCGGCGGCCGAGAATAAAGCCGTCTCCTGCCGGTTGCGCCATCGGTTGCGCCCTCGGCGGCCGAAAATACATCTGTCTCCCATCGGTTGCTCCATAGGTTGTGCCTTCGGCGGGCGAGGATACTACCGTTTCTTATTTGTTGCGCCACAGGTTGCGCCCTCGGCGGCCGAGGATAAAGCTGTCTTCTGTCGGTTGCGCCATAGGCTGCGCCCTCGGCGGCCGAGGATAAAACCGTTTCCGGTCGGTTGCGCCATAGGTTGCGCCCTTGGTTGCCGAGAATAAAACCGTCTCCTGTCGGTTGCGCCATAGGTTGCGCCCTCGGCGGCCGAGGATAAAGCTATCTTCTGTTGGTTGCGCCATAGGTTGCGCCCTCGGCGGCCGAGGATAGAACCGTCTCCGATCTGTTGCGCCATAGGTTGCGCCCCTGGCGGCCGATGATAAAACCGTCTCCTATTGGTTGGCCCATAGATTGCGCCTTGGCGGCTGAGAATAACATCGTTTTCTGTCGGTTGCGCCATGGGTTGCGCCCTCGGCGGACGAGGATAAAACTGCCCCGTCACGGGTGCGACCAATCAGTTCAGTTCAGTTCAGTTCAGCTTTGTTCAGTTCAGATCAATTCAGGTTACTCCGCGAGAAACAAATTCTGGCTGCGCCAGAAACAACTTCTCATTGATTTGTCGGGGATCCTGGGTTCGCGCAGCGAAAACATCAAGGCGTCGGATGTTTGGGCTGGGGGGGAGAAGGACCAGGAGCAGGAAATGTTTTGATTGACGTCGCGGCGGATACGTCAACCTCCGCTTTCGGACGCGGCCGCGGTGCCCTGCAGAGTCAACGACCCCGACGGCGCGTAGCCAAAGACGCCATTTTGGGCCATATCAGTCGTCTCGGAGGCCGTTCTGGATCGCTTTTGCGCCGTGTTGAAGCCCTCTTTTGGGCCTGCCGGGCAAGATTGGAGCCAACCTGACAACGTTTGGGCAGAAACCCGATGGGCGAAAACGCCACAACTGGTGATGAACGCTCTGAGGATCAGTGAGCGCGGGCCGCCTGGGAGCATCTTGGAGCCTTCTTGGAATGTATTCGAGGCATTTCGGGTCGTCTTGAGGCCGTTTTGAACCGTTTTGAGGACCTCTCGGGCCGTGGCGTGGGTGGCGGGACGACGACGACCAGATGAAAACATGTTCTTGCATCGTGGACTCGTTGGTCAACCCCGCAATTTTGGACAGTGGGAGATCGTTCGGCCCCGTCGCTCTGACGCGGTGCTCTGGGCGGCTTTGACAAGAGGCGCCGCGCGAAATTGACTTTGCATCCACCTTACTTTCCTACGGCGCGGATCCGCACAAATACGCGCTTGGCTACGCGCGAACTTAACAGACAACGAATAGAAACGAAAACAAGTAAGGCGACCATATCCGCCCTGTTTCTCTGGGGCAGAAATGTCCGCCCTACTCTTCCGACTTCTTAGAGATGGATTTCCGACGCAATTAAAAGTTGGAAGAAACAGCCAAAGCAGGGCGGATCCAGAGTCAGAGCGGGCCCCGCGCCCCTCCAGGAGCGCGCGCGGGCGGAGGGCGTCCGGCTGCCGCCCCACGCGCGGCTCTCGGGCCGGGCGAAGCTTCGGCCCGCATCTCCAGCGCAGGAAGTGTCGCCGCGCTTGCGGGCCCCAGGAATATACGCCACCGCCGCGTCGATCCCCCCTCCCTCCTCGCCTCCACCCTCATCTTCCTCTCCGCTTCCCTGGGGGAGGGAGGGGATAATGGAGGATTACGATTAATAAATGACCGGGGGTCGTGTTCACGCGGCGGCGCCCGGGGTGACGATTAGAAAAAACCGGCCGCGGACTGGAAAACTATTTTGCAATCGTTCTCCTCCAGTCAGAAGCTTGTGCAGAAATAGCAGACAACTTTTTTTTTAATCGTTCTCTCCCATTTTTTCATTGATCTTCTCGGGTCGGGCGAAAGGGGGGGGTTGGGAAAGGGGGGGGTACGAAATTTGCTGCATGCAGCTGGTTTCGGCCTCACCGAGGGGCCCGTTCCTCGATACGTGGCCGCCTCGGCGCCGGGAGGCCCGGGAAAATCAGCTACGTGAGCTGATTCTCAACCCCCCCCTGTGCTATCCCCCCCTTTCGCCCGACCCGATCGTCATCCCGCAGTAAGGGGAGGTGGTGGTGGCGTATACTTTTGGGCCCCGTGGCGATGCGGCCGCGACGCGGCCGCCGCGGCGGCCGCGGCGGTGGCCGCCGCCGCGGCCGCGGCGGCCGCTGCGGCGGCCGCGGCGGAGCGGCACCTGCCGCGCGGAGGGCGCGGAAGGATTGCAAAAAAACGAAGGATTGCGAAAAAAACCAAGGATTGCAAAGGATTGCAAAGGGTTTGTTTGCAATCCTTTGCAAAGGGTGTTTGTTGCACTCCTTTTTTGCAATCCTTGGTTTTGTTTGCAATCCTTCGGTTTTTTGCAATCCTTCGGTTGAGGGCAAAGGTGAAGGGGCCCTGGGACACGCAAATAAGTGCACACAAGTAATAATCGAGGACTCGTTGTGTCTGCGTGTTTCTCTTTTCCTCCTGAGAGGGGTGGGCTGGCGAGCACGGCGGTCACGCAGCGAGCCACAGTGCACGGTGGCTGCCTCCTGCGGCGCCGGCAGGCGCCAGAGGCGCGGGCGCCGCTTTCTGAGGGGGGGCGATCCATGGGGGGGGGAGCGCGCTCTTTTCGTTCCCCTTTTGTCAGGAGGAGAAGAAACACACAGACACAATTAATCGTCGATTCCCCAGAAAATATTGGAAATTGTGGGAAGGGGGGGGAAGACAAAAACACAGAAAATTATCCCGGCAAAGCAACCTAACAGCGATGTGTAGAAGCATATATGGGAGCATTCCTTTTGAGATTCATGTAGGAGTCCTGTTATAGAATTCTGATGCCTTCGCAGTCGCAGTCGCATTCGCAATGGCAATCGCAATGACAACGGAACTTGAAACGTCCTGGATCCCCAACTGGGCCTCCAGAGACCGGAACCGCTGAGAAAAACCTTGCGTATCCTTCCTGGAACTCCTCCTTCCTCCTCCTCTTCCTCCTCCTCCTCGTCCTCCTCCTCCTCCTCCTCCCTCTGAGCACACCGTGGCGCTCGACAGGAGGCATCTCTCCTCCTCACTGCTCATGGGCTTTCGGATGCATCAGCCTGCCTCAGCGTCTGCCTCAGCCTGCCTCAGCCTCAGCCGCAGCCTCAGCCTCAGCCTCACTTGAGTTCCCCCATATCAGGCATGGACCCGCGGCACCCCCGACTGACTTCCCCCATATCAGGCGTGCACCCGCGGCCCCCCCGACTGAGTTCCCCCATATCAGGCAAGCACCCGTGGCACGCGTCAGCTGAGTTCCCCCATATCAGGCGTGGACCCGCGGCACCCCCGACTGAGTTCCCCCATATCAGGCGGGCACCCACGGCACCTCCGACTGAGTTCCCCCATATCAGGCGCGGATCCCCGGTTTTCCCCGGCATCCCCCGGATCCTACCCAGACCCCCCTGGGGAATCAGGATGCTCTCTTTTGACCCCACTAGAAACCTATCAGTCTTCGCTGTTAGGTAATATGTGAAAATATAGGGAATCCTGTTATTTGTGTGCATTTATTTGTGTGTCCCAGGGCCCCTTCATTTTGGGCCCCAGGTGGCACCGCTTAGGGCACAAAAGGGCACCGTGCTTCACCCCCTCTCGCTTCTCTCGCCCCCCCCATGACGCGGCGCCCGAGAGGCGCTTGCGTGCCCGGGAAGAAACGCCCGGCGGCGTGGCCGAAACTGGCTGCGTGCAGCAGGTTTCGTCCCCACCCTTTGCCCTCTCCTGGGAGGGAAAAAAACAGGTAGACACAATGAATCGTCGATCCTCAGGAGTATGTGGGAAAATATGGGAAGTGGGGGGAAAGACGAAAACCCAGAAAGTATGGACAAACATCTGGGATCCTTGTATTTGTGTGTATTGATTTGTGTGTCCTTGGGCCCCTGTATCTCCCCCGTTTTCATGCGCCCGACGCCGTCGTCTTTCCACGGCGAGGCCCCCCCTCCGGAGATCTGTGATGGGCCGACTTTCCACCACCGCTAGTTGCCATGTGTAGGAGAGGGAGGAGGAGAGGGAGGAGGAGGAGGAGGAGGAGGAGGAGGAGGAGGAGGAGGAGGAGGAGGAGGAGGAGGAGGAGGAGGAGGAGGAGGAGGAGGAGGAGGAGGAGGAGGAGGAGGAGGAGGAGAGGGAGGAGGAGGAGGAGGAGGAGGAGGAGGAGGAAGAGGAGGAGGAGGAAGAGGAGAAGGAAAAGGAGGAGGAGGAGCTCCCTATCCTCCCCTCTCCTCCGTCCTGCCTGCGGCAGTGGTGGTGGATAGTGGCCCACCAGTCTGGGCACCTTCCCCGCGACCGGCTTCTCGTCCCGAGCTGCGTCTGCGGACGGCCCCGAGTCCTGGCAGTGCCCCCACCCCCCATGCGCTGAAGAGCACGAGCAGAAATCCGTCTTGACTCTTGACTGTCGGGGGTGGACAGAGCCCCCAACAGTGACACGTCGATTAGTGAATTGTCCGTTTTCGGTTCTCGAGATGGCGCCGTGGCCGTTCTTTTCCAGGCTTGCGCCCGCCATGTTTGGACCTCAGGTCGTTTTCACTAAACCACGTTTTACTAAAGGGGGGTCTGTCCATCCCCGAGACTGTTGTCAATGCGTTGGTCTACAGGCGGCCCAGATCAGTAGGTCGACCCTACCAGGTCAAGGGGACCTTTTTGTCCTGCGTCTCGTGACCCATGCCTCCTGCTTTCCGATGACTATGTGGCCCTCGGAAGGGTCTTTTGTCCTCTCGCGTCCAATGAAGTCCGACTGTAGATGGGATCGGAGGATCGCGCCGCATCGACGATGCATCGGCGATGCATCGGCGATGCGGCTCGATGCGGTGCCCAGTTTTCTCCACGCCGACGTCGCTGATGCATGGCCGACGCCGCCAGAGCATCGCCGATGCATCGCCGATGTATCGGCGATGCGGCGAGATCCTCCGACCTCATCTACTCCGACCCCATCTAAGACGCCTCTAGTTGAAGGCCTGGGCCCTGTCCCTGATTACCCTGAAATTGGGCATGCTCTCCTACGGGAGGAATTCTCAAGAACGGTCAAAGACTTGTATGGGGACGGTTTCTCGTGGCCCTTGATTACTTTCAACACTTTTTGGGTATTTTCATTTTTTCCCAAAGCCCGCCTGCAGGATGACATGCCCGACCTAACTAATTACCCCGCCGAGTCCGACCCGATGCAGACTTCGTAACCCGCCTCTTCTGAGATCCGACGTTGCGGCAAAGGTGAAGCATCGCGGGACATCACGACTGGAGCCCATATACCCTATCTTTCTGCGCCGTGCTTCTGGCCAGATCGATGTGTGATGGTCCCGGGGCCCGAAAGTTTGCGAAAATGTTGGGTGTGAGACAGGAGCAACGCCCAGGTCTCAGAGTTTCCTTATGGCCCAAAGGGTATATTTCAGCATCTGTCGCCCAGAGAACTGGCCAGAAACTTATACATTATCCGTTGTCCTGTGACGTTTCTGCGAAGCCCCATGGGACACTGCCCAGATACCTAAGTGTATACACAGTCGGACCGAGGTATAAGATCGAGGTCGGTTCGGCGAGGGTACCCTGATGTTCTTCGTGCTTGTTTGATGTTCTTGTGCATCCTGGGGAGGATACCTCTAGATGTTCTGTTTGTTTTTGGCCGACGGAGGGTCTCATGTCCTTGAGGGGTGTTATTCTGGCCCAGGTCCGACTGCACTCGCGGTTCCCAACCCAGCCATGCGGCGTCCCCATTTGTTCCATACGCGGCCCCCACAAGTCCCGACCTTTTCTCCGGCACCAGCTTCTCATCCTGAGTAGTTTTTGTTGTGCGGTCCCGAGGCCCGGCGAGGGCTCCTGGCGGCCGAGAGTTGCAACAGAAAGCCCGCCCTGACTCTCGTTTACGACGCGATCATGTCTGGGAATGTCAGGAGGAAAATAAACACACAGACACAAGTAATCCTCGATTTCCCAGAGAATATGGGAAAATACGGGAAGCGGGCGGGAAGACAGGAACCCAGAAAATATAGGAAGATATGGGGAATATTTTTATTTGTGTGTATGTATTTGTGTGTCTTGGGGCCCCTTCAGAATGTTCCCCTTTTCGTCTTGCCCGAGGCTCTTCCCCGAGCGCCTGCGCCGCTTCGAGTACCGCCACGCGCCGCCAGACGTGCGATCGCCCAGCGCCGGCGGCGCGGCGGCGGGCGGGGTGGCCGGGGCGGCCTCCGCGCAGCTGGGCGGGGATCGGGGGCAATGTTTTGGGGGGGCGGCAAAGAGGGGGGTGATGACTAGGGGGTCGGATACCATGGCGTGGGCCATGATATTTCCCCCGACTTCATGGCGCCTCTTCTCATTTCATTACGTCCCTGGCCCCCCCGCTGGGCCGCGCACGTGCCGCCGGTGGAGGTACAGCAGTGTGGCGCGGGAGGAGGAGGAGGAGGAGGAGGAGGAGGAGGAGGAGGAGGAGGAGGAGGAGGAGGAGGAGGGAGGAGGAGGAAGAGGAGGAGGAGGAGGAGCAGCGTGGCGCGGGAAGGGGAGGAGGAGCTCAGGGGATTTGCACCCCCCCTCCCTGGACACCCCCCTCTTGGCCGCTCCCGATTCTGGGGGGGGGGGATGAGCTCAGGCCAGCCAGGCGCAGAGGGGGGCCCAGACGCGATCGCGTCGTCAAAGGGTCACGGCGGGAGGTTTTGGGCCGTCTTCGGCCTCGGGGGGCCTTTGCTGGGCCCTCGGTGCAGAGATTCGAGTCCTCTGGGGCTTGTCTGACACGATTCTCGCATTCGCGAGCTGCTTCGTGTGTCTCACGTTGTTGATTGATGTGTCTCGTGTGTACGTATACGTTTCTCAGATTGGATTCGTTCGTCAACGTCTTGGATTACTTCCCAGGCACTGCGCTGGAAAAAAAAAAAAAAACATCTCACACGCACATTATATTTACATGGTAGGCGGAGCTTTCGTTGACAGTCGCTCTTCTGCTGATTGGGATGTTGTAGACATCAGCTCGGGGAGATCGGACGAGGAGGCGCGAGTCAAGTGTTCAGAGTGGTTTCAAAGTTGGATTCGTTTCGGAGCTTACGTCGAACGATAGTTACGTGTTCAAGAACAGGTGCTGGTCGCACCCTGGATCGCTTCCACAAAAAACAAGAAGCTTCGAGAGTCCTACAATCGTCAGATCGAGCTAGAGCTTTCTTCAAAGCGTGGAGGAACTCACCACGCAGGTCCAGGCACTCGCGCAGCAGCAGCAGTACCAGCAGGGGCTACAGCGGCTGGGTGTGGAGAGCCAGCGTTTGCAGCAAGAGCTTCAACAGCGAGCAGCACCACCACAGGGCGCATGTAAGGGAGGTCTCGCAGCCCTAGTGGATATATTTCGCCAGGACATGTCGAATCGACAACCAAATTTTAGATTGGTAGACACTCGCGGCACCGGCAACCCCTCGATATAAGACGGAGACGAGAGCAGATGGAGAGAGTGGCAGGCCAAGTTCTAGTAATTTGTTTGTTCTGTGTTCGATGAGGATTTCAGAGACGCAGTGGGATCGGCTTCGGAGCAGGGTGCGATCATCACAGATGGGGGGAAGGAGTTGACGACGCCGAACGGATACCCGACATAGAGGCAAAGTTTACGCAGCTGTACGCGGCAATGCAGCAGTTGGCTTCCAAGGAGCTTTTCGACCTGGTCATGAATTTAGCGAAAGGATATGAATTGGAGGCCAAGGGGAAGATTTGCAGACGTTTCGATTCCGCGACTGGAGCCCGAAATCGCAGCCTACTCCGTCGATTACCAATCCAGGCCGCGGCGCAATCGATAATTTTGCTCAAGCCTTGGAGAGATGGGGATATCAAGTTTCTCAATATGAGCGTCGCAAAGACGACGCAGGCGAGCGCGAGACCATCAGTGATCATATCACAACGGCAGCTCTCGAGCTTACTTCCCAAAGAGCTAGAGCAGCATGAGTTGTTGAACCAGTATCGCCTGGGAAACTACCAAGCTCTCGGGATGGAGGTCGTGCTTTTTATCGAGGCCAGGGCGGGGGCCAGGGCTCGCGAGAGAGGCGCGAAGACCAGCAAGCAGAGACGCGCTGACCCCAGCGCCATGGGCGACGGCTCGATGGGCAAAGGCAGGCCGAAGGCTACGACGGCAAAGGCAAGGGCAAGAGCAAGGGCGACAAGGGTGGCAAGTGCAAGTTCAAAAGGCTCTGCCAACGCTGGCCCTGCGTGCCCGAATTGGGGCATTGCAGGTCGCAGGGCAGAGAACTGCTGGACGTCCAAGCGCACCGACGGCGGCAAGATCGATTCCACGGGCAAGTCGAAGGGAAAAGGCAGCAAAGGTGGCGAGCGGGGCCCGAAGTCGACCAACCAGCTCGACGCTGAAGGGAAGACGATGGAGGAGACCAGCCAGAACCCGAAGACTGCGGCGCATTAGAATTGTGTCCTCTCGGACTTCGCGCAGCATTTTGCGGTCAGGAGTGCGCTGTCAAGGGTTGCTGCCAGTTGGCCAGGCCCCAGCAGCAGCGCTCGTTCTCTTGGGAGTTGGGTCAAGTTCAATCTCGACCCGGGCGCAGCGGCTACGGGTCTTCCTGCCGACTGGGCTCCAGCGACTTCCCCGGCTACAGGCTGCCAGCATCGCGCAGCAACTGGGGACTTGGTATCGGGCAGTGGCTACGGCGAAGTTCGTCGCCGAGATGAGTGCAATCGCCCAGCTAGCACCCGCGTTCGACGCGCGCAGGTGTCCGTGCCCCTGGCGTCAGCGGCTGCGACGTTGAAGATTCGCGCTGGGACGTCGGATGGGTTTCGAGGCGTCGCCCACGACCTCGAGAGCGAGCTGGGCCGGAAGCTGACCCAGCACATGAACAAGATGGCCGAGTGGCATCCCGACGGTGGCATTGGTTTGTGGCAGGAGCGAGGCGTCTACAACGCGCGCATGAATGTTGAGGGCGACAACGAGGGGCGCATCCTGCGCGGGAGATCGCGCCGGTGACGGAGGCGGGCTCTTCTGGCTCGGGGGGCAAGCGGCGGGCCAGCCGGCTGCGCGCCCGGCCCGTGCAAACCAGGGTTCGAGTTCCCGAGTGGACAGGAGGCCAGCCAGGCGCCCAAGGCTCGGTGCCACGCGGACCATCGGCCCCCGCTCAGGCCGAGGTGGGCGCGCGCGAGGCCGCGGGCCATGATATTCCGCTCCTAGACGGACGTGCGTTTAAAGCTCGCGAGTGCCCCGCGCAGTTGAGGGGGGCCATTCCCGAGGATATCGCTTCGGAGTTTCGGGGGGGCGGGCGGGCCAGCGCAGTCGCAGGCGCGCGTCTGGCCCCAGAAGTTGAGGGCGAATATTTCCTACCCGCCGTAGGAGGAGACCCAGGACAACAGAAGGAGAAGCACTGGGATGACGCAAGCGGAGGACGTCCAAGTATCGAACTTACGGGGCAGGCCAGCAAGGGGGAGGATGGCTGGATGAGCACGCAGAGCGTTTTCGCGGTCGTCGAGACGGGCGCGCGCAGGCGGCAAACAGACTGGAGCCCGATCGGAACCAGATGGGTGGACGCCAACAAAGGGGATAGACAATGCCCTCGGCATCGCGGCAGAATGGTTGCACGAGAAATAGCAGGCAAACAGAGGCGATGCCCCGAGCAGCTTGCAGCGCCAGAGCTTTCCAGCAGCACTCCTTCTGGAGGCGCGCAGACTACCGTTGAGTTCGCGCGTGGCGCAGCGCGTTTCCAAACGAGGTCTGCCTCTCCAGATCGGTTTCCGGGGCGTTTCTCGGGCGCGCTTGCGCGGGGGGGCGGGGTGGGGCGGGGTGGGCGGGGGGGGGCGACGCGGCGCGATGCGCGCATTATCATTGGCGATGGTCGTGGGGCTACGTTGGACAAAAGCACGCGCGGCACTCGGGGCGCGCGCCATATCTGACAGGGCGACGATTTGAACCTCGTGAGAGACGGGGAGCTTCGACAAGGGATGCCCAATCCCTCTCTTCTTTTGCGCGAACACGACGAGTGGAGAGGCCTCGTGCATGGCGATGATTTCGCTTTGGCCGGCGCGAATTCCAGGTCGGCTTCTACGCGCGAGCGAAGCGTTCTGGTATTCTGGGGCCCGAGGACAAGGGTTCGGAGGGAGTTGTTGTTCTCGGCCGAGTTATCCGATGTGTTCGGGGACCTGGGGCCCGCGTCGAAATCGAGAGTGATCAGCGACGTGTCGAAACGCTTTTGAGGGTCATCGGTTTGGACGAGGATTTGGCCCCGGGGGTTGACGTTTGGGCTGGTAAAAAGAGCGTCGAGGAGGCCTTGGAGGAGCTAGAGCTCCCAGTGCTGGACCCTGCAGGAGTTCGAGCTCACCGTTCCAGCGTCATGCGATCGGCGCGCCTTGCTCAGGGCCGACCTGAAATCGGAGAGGCGGTCAAGTCGCAGGAAAATGCAGCACCCCAATGTTTCGGACATGGCGGCAGTCAAGAAGTTGTGCAGGCATCTCAAGGCGCACCCGTGCCTTGTCTCCCGCTTCTTTCCCCAGGGCATGCCTGGTGAGCTCGGTGCGTCGGTGCTGGGCAGGAAGTCATTTCGCACGTAAGAGTACGACAGGCATGGTAGCAATGCTCGGAAAGCACGCGCTAAAGACAAAATCTATGATACAGTCGACAATAGCAGTTAGCAGCAAAGCGGAGAAACATATAACTGCAGCGTATTGAAAGTTGGAGCTAAAGGCCTTTCGATCCAGGCCATCCTTGAGGATTTCGGTTCCTCCTTTCAAGCGCGCGATGAGTGAGGTGAAGGATGAGCTTTCAATTTCGATTGCCTCGGATTCGTCCGCGGCTCGAGCTTTTGCACATAGGCAATGTTTAGGCAAACGTAAACATGTAGTGATTAGATTTCTGTGGGCGCAAGAGGAAGTCTTGAATTGCCTTCCTCAGATAATCCCTGTAGGTGCCAGAGTGAAAGTTGCGGACCTTTAACTATGCGCGTCTCTCATGCAACAGCCTCTCGGCACTTCAAAGATGTGGGTGTCGTTTGAAGATTTGTCTGGAACCACTTGCACAGGAAGCTTTTTTCCCGGCAGTCAGCATCGTGTGAGTGCGAATTCGTGCGAGACTCGTCCGAAGGTCATGCAGACTTGTCTTAGAAGGAGCGCAGATCTTAGAATCCTCCAGGGTTTGTCTGACACTATTCTCCCATTCGTGAGTTGTTTCGCGTGTCTCACGTTGTTGATTGATGTGTCTCATGTGCACGTATACGTTCCTCATATGGAATTCGTTCGTCAACGTTTTGGTTTACTCCCCAGGCACTGCGCTGCAAAAAGGTCCGCATCTCACAGGCACATTCTATTTACATTCGGGACCGTCAAAAAAACGAGTCAGGATGAAGCGCCGGTCCCAGAGAAAGGGTCGGGACTTCCAGGCACACCGTATGTGAACAATCAGGACGTCACATGTGTGGGAGTAGGGGGAAGGGGGGAGGCTTTTTAGAAGCAGCCTCCTAAGAAGCCTCCCCCCCCCTCCACTCCCATTTGCGCGCCGTCAACAAGGGGGGCAGGACGCATCGACCCAGAGGTCCAAGGTTCCGACAAAAATTGGAGCAGCCAGTGCTTGGCCATTTTCGGCCTTGTGCTGGGGTACGGGTCCGGGGGCCGCACACAAAAACGATCTTCAATATGAACAAAAGGCCCTATAGGGGAGTTGTCCACAGACCTCCAGGAGTCGACGCATCGGAAATCTGGAACACCGTTAAGTCTGGGGACGCTCGGCGTTTTCGGGTTTTTGTCATTGCGCGCGGGTCTTCATCCTCGGGGTGCTCTCCAGCAGCTGCGCCTCGCCGAGAGCGTTGCGGAGGTGCCCGGATCGTCCCGAAGGCCTGGCTGCCACAGAGCGTAAGTCTGGCCCGACAGCCGGGGGGGCAAATTTGGGGGGGTATTGGCTCAGGGAGGAGCGCATTGACCCCAATCGCCCACTCATCGCCACCAGGGGCCCGATAGCCCGCCCCGTCCAGGACCGCGCGGATTCGCTACTGGGGCCTGTCGCCGATCAATCGGCGATGTATCGGGGATTCCAGGTTGGTGTTTTGTTCCCCACTTGGCCAGTCCTCCCCCGAATGTTCCCCCTCAGGGGAGTGCGCGCCCGGGCGCGAGCGGAACCTGGTCGTCTTTCTGCACGGGTTCGGCGGCCGCAAGGCCTTGAGATCCGGGCGTTGCAATTCGTTCGCGCCAGGCATTTTCGCCCGAGGTTCGGGCCGAACGAAAGGGGGGGATAGGGAAAGGGGGGGGAAGAAATCTGCTGCATGCAGCTGGTTTCGGCCCCGCCGCCAGGCCCATTCCTCGATGCACATATGGGCGCTCCCCAGCGCCGCGAGGCGTTGGGAAAATCAGCTACGCGAGCTGATTCTCACCCCCCCCCCCCCTTTGGTATTCCCCCCTTTCGCCCAGCCCGAAAGGTGTCCGGCCCGGGGACCATCACAGATCGTTCCAGTTCAAAGGATGCAGAAACGGAAAGATGGGGTCGGGGGCGTGGCTTCAATCAGGAGGGGACAAAAACACACAGACACAATTAATCGCCGATCCCCAGGAAAATATGCGATAATATGGGAAGTGGGGGGGGAAGACAAAACCCCAGAAAATATGGGAAAATATGGGGAATAGTTTTATTTGTGTATATTTTTCGTGTGTTCTGGGGCCCCTTTATTCATCCCCGATTCTCTCGGCTCCGACCCAGTTCAGGCCCCTTCGGCCGCTTCCGCTGCGCAGGAGGCTTCAGATCCTGGGGGGGTCCCTATCTAGCGAGGGTGACGTTGATATCCGAGCTCCACCGGCTTCAGACCCTGGTCTCCTTCTGCACGGGTTCCTTATTCAATGCCCTCGCCGTGCAGTCGGCCCTGAGTGGTAGATCGACCATGCCAAATCGAGGGTACCCTTGCTTCCTGTCTATCCAGACCCATGCAACCCGCATGTCCTTTGGTGTTCTGGTGTCACGGTGCCGTCGGAAGAGTCTTGTATCCTCTCGGGTGTTCTGTCCAATCAAGCCCGATTGTACACCAATCAGATATCTTCAGAAAAAGCGTCATCTGTCGTGGACCCCAGATTTTGTATAAGAAGGTCAAGAATTTGGACAGGAGCCTGGGCGTGTTCTGGGACCTTCTTTTCTCGTGACGACATTCGTACATCTGGACCTGGACTGCTGTTCAAGAAATCGCTTCGGGTGAAGTCCGTTTTCTTAGCCCCCAAGTTTCTTGACTCTAGACCCAGATCCCCGGCGTCGTGAGTTTGTCCCCAAATCATGAGTGAGGTTTTTGTTTCCCGCATCCCGAGTGTGGTTATTGCTTTCCTGTAAGACCCTCTCCTTCTGTCTCCCGCCTCTTCCTCCGCTGCTGCTGCTTTACTACAACTACCACACTAACACACGACCATAACTACAAAAACGACTACTGCGAAACAACTACCACTCTTACCACTACAAATACCACCTCTCCAGGGAGGCCCCGCCAGAGCGAGGAGGGTATCGGATACCATACTATTTCACTGTTCCGTGCCCCTCCCACCCCTCCAGGGAGGCCCCGCCTGAGCGAGGAGGGTATCGGAAAAGCGTACTAGAGCGCCATTGAGGCTTTGGGGAGTCCTTGAACGCGCCCACAGAGGCCCCACTGGGCTGCCCACTCGGGCCCCTACCATGACAACACTTCCACACAGTCACTATTACAACTATGATCACGATGACTAATACTAATACTACTGCTACTACTACTACTACTACTACTACTACTATTACTACTACTACTACTACTACTACTACTGTTACTACTACTACTACTACTACTACTACTACTACTACTACTACTACTACTACTACTACTACCTACTACTACTACTACTACTACTACTACTAACTACTACTACTACTACTACTACTACTCTACGACTATACTACTACACTACTACTACTACTACTACTACTACTACTACTACTACTACTACTACTACTACTACTACTACTACTACTACTATTACTACTACTACTACTACTACTACGACTACTACTACTACTCTACTACTACTACGACTACTACTACTACTACTACTACTACTAGTTCTACCACTACTTACCACTAGTACTACTACTACTACTACTACTACTGCTACTACTACTACTACTACTGCCACTACCACTACTACTACTACTGCTACTATCACTACCACTACAACAACTACTACTACTACTGCTACTCTACTACTACTACTACTACTACTACTACTACTACTACCACTACCACGACTACTACTACTACTACTACCACTGCTACTACTACTACTACTTTTACTACTACCACTACTACGACTACTACTACTACTACTACTACTACTACTACTACTACTACTGCTGCTACTACCTCTACTACTACGACTACTACTACCACTACTACTACCACCACTACCTACTACTACCTACTACTACTACTATTACTACTACTACTACTACTACAACTACTACTCCTACTACTACTTCTATTACTACTACTACTACAACTACTACTACTACTACTACTACTACTACTACTACTACGACTACTACTACTACTACTACCACGACTACTACTATTTTTACTACGGTTACTCCTACTCCTACTCCTACTACTACTACCACTACTACTACTACTACTACTACTGCTACTACTACTACTACTTCTACTACTACTACTACTACTACTACGACGGCTATTTGTATTGTTGCTACGGCTATTACGACGGCTACGACTATGATTACTACTGATATTACTAGTAGTACTACTACTACTATTACTACTACTACTACTACTGCTATTAGTACTGCTACCACTAGTACTACGACTACTACTACTACTACTACTACTACTACTACTACCAATATTACAACTTCTACGACTACGACTGCCACTCCTATTATCTTAATAACTACTGTGGCCAGTCATACCACCGTCAGTTCTACCACTACTTACCACTAGTACTACGACTACTACTACTACTACTACGACTACTGCTGCTACTACTACTACTACTACTGCCACTACCACTACTACTGCTACTGCTACTATCACTACCACTACAACAACTACTATTGCTACTACTACTACTACTGCTACTGCTACTACTACTACTACTACTACTACTACTACCACTACCACGACTACTACTACTACTACTACCACTGCTACTACTACTACTACTTTTATACTACCACTACTACGACTACTACTACTACTACTACTTACTACTACACTACTACTACTGCTGCTACTACCTCTTTTACTACTACGACTTACTATACCACTACTTTTACGACACCACTACATACTTACTACCTACTACACTTATAGTACTACTACTACTACTACCTAAATACTTTCCCTACTCACTACTTATACTACTACTACTACAACTACCTACTACTACTACTTACTACTACTACTACTACTACGACTACTACTACTACTACTTACCACGACTACTTAATATTTTTACTTTTACGGTTACCTCCTACTCCTACTCCTACTACTACTACCACTAATAATACTATACGACTACTGCTATAATACTACATACTTTACGTACTACTACTACTACTATACGACGGCTATTGTATTGTGCTACGGCTATTTACGACGGGACTACGACTATGATTACTACTGATATACTAGTAGGTACACTACTACTATTACTACTACTACTACTACTACTGCTATTAGTACTGCTACCACTAGTACTACGACTACGACTACTACTACTACTACTTTTACTACTACTACCAATATTACAACTTCTACGACTACGACTGCCACTCCTGTTATCTTAATAACTACTGTGGCCAGTCATACCACCGTCAGTTCTACCACTACTTACCACTAGTACTGCTACTACTACTACTACTACTACTACGACTACTGCTGCTACTACTACTACTACTACTACTGCCACTACCACTACTACTGCTACTGCTACTATCACTACCACTACAACAACTACTATTGCTACTACTACTACTACTGCTACTGCTACTTACTTACTACTACACTAATACTACTACATACTACGACTGCTACTTACTTTATTGTTTTTTTTTTTTTTTATTTCTTTTTTTTTTTTTACTACTACTACTTATACTATTACTACGTACTCGTACTAGTACTAGTACCAGTTACTACTATACTACTGACTACTGCTATCTACTACGAATGCTACTACTACTAGACCAACTACTACTAACGATTTTGTTTGTTTACTTTCGTGACCTTTGTATTTTTTTTTGTTCCACTACTACTACTACTACTACTACTACTACTACTACTACTACTGCTGCTACTACTACTACTACTACTACTATGACTACTACTACTATTACTACTACTACTACTACTGCTGCTGTCGCCACTACTACTACTACTACTACCACTACTACTACAACTACTACTACTACTACTACAACTACTACTACTACTGCTGGTATTATTACGGCTACGACAATGACTACGAGTACGATTCCGACTATGATTACGACGGCGATTGCCACTACCACTACGACGACGACTACTACTACGACTACTACTGCGACTACTACGATTAGGAAACAATGCTGCTACTACTACTACTACTTCTACTACTACTACTACTACTACTACTACTACCACTACCACTACCACTACCTACTACTACTACTACTACTACTACTACTACTACTACCACCACTACCTACTACTACTACTACTACTACTATTACTACTACTACTACTACTACTACTACTACTACTACTACTGCTACTACTACTACTACTACTACTACTACTACTACTACTACTACTACTACCACCACCACCACTGTTACTGTTACACATAGCATCAATACTGCTGCTACTACTGCTGCTAGTGCTGCTAATGCTGCGACTGCTATTAGTGATGCTACTCGCACGGTTACGGCTACTACTACTGCTATGCCGTATTGCGGGGCCGCGAAGCACTTTCGTGCATGCAGACCTTGCCATTGGAGCCTTCGGTGGGGCTCCCTATGGGGCCACGAAGCTCTGTCTTGGGTGGCGTTGGCGCATGCGGACCCTGCCACTGGAGCCTTCGGTGGGGCTCCCTATGGGGCCACGAAGCTCTGTCTTGGGTGGCGTTGGCGCATGCGGACCCTGCCACTGGAGCCTTCGGTGGAG